CTAGAGTATACCGCGCACTATGGGACTTTGGCTCTACTGGCGACTTCATTCATCCTCGCGTAGTTAAGGAGGCATCCCTCTATACATCCCCCTACCCTTCCACTGTCACTGTCACGCTTGGCGACAATCAGGCCAAATCCTTCGTCGATTCGGTGGTGCCTGATCTTCCAGTCTCCTTCCCCCTGCGGATGCCCCACAGCCTTTGCAAGGCCCCTCGGTTCCATGACGAGTGGACCTTCGATGTCATGGAAACCCTATATGATCTTGTTCTTGGCACTGCCTATTCCCATCAGTTCGCTCATGCCGGCCCCGATTGGACCCACAACGATCTCGTCCTCGACGCCAAGGATGGGAAACAATACCGTATTCCGTTGTTGGGCAAATCGGACTCTACACTTCCCCCCCTGTTAATGTCACCATATGTACACCTACCCAGTTCCACCACCTCCTTCGTGAGCCTGATGTAGAACTTTATGTTGTCGACATCACGGATCTCCTCACCTGCAACTCCATGCATCAGGACGTTGAGTTGGTCGAGCTCGATCCACCACCTCCCGAGCCCCCCGACCCTCCTGATTCCTCAGCTTCTTTAACCTCCTCTACCCCTCCTAGCCCATTGCACTTTCTCGCTTCCCTTACCACTGATACACCCTCAGTCCCTACCCCCATACAGACCCCCTCCACCTCTGCTTCAGACGCTGCCGCTGCCAAGGAATTTGACACCCTTCTTTCTTCCTTGCCGCCTAGCGTTGGTGCCCTCCTTCGTGAGTATCACGATGTTTTCCGACCATCCGTCTCCTACAGCAACATTCCTCCCATGCGTGGTATCGAGCACCACATCCAGCTCGAGCCCAACTATCGCATTCAGAATCGCGCCCCTTNACCACATCCAGCTCGAGCCCAACTATCGCATTCAGAATCGCGCCCCTTATCGCCTTTCGGTTCCCGAAGCCCAGGAACTCAAGCGCCAACTTGAGGAGCTGCTTCGCCAGGGCTTCATTAAACGGAGTACTTCCCCATGGAGTGCCCCGGTCCTCTTCGATCGCAAGAAGGACGGCACCCTTCGTCTCTGTATTGACTACTGCGGTCTGAACCACTACACGGTCAAAAATAGCTATCCCATGCCTCGTGCAGATGACCTGTTTGACCGCCTCTCCGACCACCATTTCTTCACGAAGATCGATCTTCGCAGCGGATATCACCAGATCCGCGTAGCCGAGGAGGACCAACCCAAGACCGCTTTTCGTTCTCGTTTCGGACACTACGAGTTTACTGTCATGCCTTTCGGTCTCCGTAATGCCCCCGCCACTTTCCAGACGGCTATGAACACGATGTTCCAAGACCTTCTTGAGGACTATATTCTAGTCTACATTGATGACATCCTGATCTACAGTCGTACCCTAGAGGATCACCTGACCCACCTTCGCACTGTCCTACAACGACTTTGCGACCACGGGTTCTATGCGAAGCTTTCCAAATGCAGCTTCGCTCAACCCAAAGTCGACTTCCTTGGGCATCAGGTCTCCAAGCACAGACTCCACATGGAGGACTCGAAGATTCAGGCCATTGTCGACTGGCCCACTCCTACCTCTCTTCCTGCACTGCGTAGTTTCCTTGGGTTGACCAACTACTATGGTCACTTTCTTAAAAACTACGCGCAGTATTCTTCCCAGCTTACCCCTCTGACTCGCGGACGTCTACCTTTTCATTGGACCCCGGCTCACGAGGATGCTTTCCGCTCTCTCAAGCGGCTTGTCACGTCAGCTCCTGTCTTACACTTACCCGACTACTCGCGTTCATTCATCGTCACCACCGACGCATCCGACTTCGCTATTGGAGCTGTTCTCTCCCAGATCTACCCAGCCCCCTCTACTTCTCCTGATTCCACAGAGTCCCGCCTCCCTCGCATTCCTCGCTTCCCTCCTCCACCTCCAGCGACTGCGGCTCATCTTACACCCATCGAGCCCAACCCCCCAGGGGCAGTGTAACTATACTGCCGACGAGCGTGAGGTTCTTGCGTTGGTCTACGCTGTTAAGAAGTGGCGTCATCATTTGCACGATCATACTTTCACCGTTTTGACGGACAACTCTGTCCTCGCCGCCTTCCAGACTAAGCCTAAGCTCACTTCTCGCCAGGCTCGTTGGTGGCGTGACCTCTTGGAGTTCGACTTCACCATCAAGAAGATTTCTAGCGAAAGCAATCGTGTTGCAGATGCCTTATCCCGCTGCCCCGACCTTCAGTGTGAGGATCGTCAGCTATCTGCTATCTCAGCTCCCACCATCCACCCCGCCTTTCTGGACGAGTACCGCCTCGCATACACCCAGTGCCCTGAGTTTCAGTCCATCTACGCTGACCTACAGGCTGGCAAGTCCGTCCCTAACTTCCAGCTCGATCCCTCTGGACTCCTATATTGGCTTGGTCGCCAAGGTACTCGTACTCCCTACTTATGTGTGCCCTCTACTGACCAGCTCCGCGTTCGGGTCGTCGCTGAGTGTCATGACCAGCGCGCCGCCGGTCATCTCGGTGTCTTCAAGACACTTGACCGCCTCTACCGCCATTACTACTAGGAGCACCGCTGTCCTTTCACTAAGGAGTACGTCCGCACCTGCAGGATCTGCCAGGAGGCCAACATCCCCAACCACCCCCCCTATGTTCTTCTTCAACCCTTACCCATTCCTACTCAGCGTTGGACTTCTGTCTTTATGGACTTCATCGGTCCCCTTCGTCCCCCTACCCCACGAGGCCACGACGCCATCTTCGTCGTTATCTGTCGGTTGACTAAGCATGCTCACTTCCTCCCTTGCAAGTATGCTAGTTCAGCCAAAGACATCACCTCCCTATACT